CCCCCCCCCCCCTCCCCCTCCCCCTCCACCCTCTCCACCTCTCCACCTCTCCACCCCTCCACCACCACCCATGCAGGTGGTGCTCCTTCTGGACGTGGCCCCGCTCCTCACGCAGTCCACTTCGCCTGATACATGGACTGCATCTGCGTCACGGTCCCTCCACACCCTCCTGGCGACGGCAGCTGGTGCCGAGCCCCCGGCGCTGTCGGCTCGCCCACCCACGTTTGCCCTCCGCTGCTTCTCCTCGGCGCACTCGTCGTCGTCCACCCTCAAGGTCCGCTTGCAGAGTCTGTCGCCGACGTCGCTGGCCGAGTTGGACGCCCTGCTCGACTCGATTGTGGCGCTGTGTGCGGATGGCGGCGGACGGCTGGCAAAGGCACCGGCTGACGAGGTGCCTGCTGCCGGCGGCCTGCCGCTGGTGGCGTCTGCGTTGCGATCGGCAGCAGCGGTGGCGACACAACGGAGAAAGGTGCTGCCGCCGATAGTGGTCATCCAGCGGGCGCTGACCCAGCTGCTCGCCGACGTTGCCTGGTCGCACGTGGTCCTCTCGTCAGACACAGCCACACGCAAGGTCATCTACCTCCTCTCACCGGCGCCGGCTTCGGAGGCTGACATGGTCGCGTTTGCCACCGGTCGACGGCCGGCGCCAGTGCGGGACACAAGCAGCAAAGGTAGTTGCCCCAACGACGACGAGCTCGCCGGATCGGCCCTCTTCAAGACCATGATCAACGAGGCACGCGGCGCAAGCGCACTGAGCGCAGCGTCGCGCGAAGCCGTCGACCCGGTTGTTCTGGCGGACGCTGTCGAGCTAATGTCGACAGGTTTTGGCTCGGCACGTCGCGGGCTGGGCAAATCGCTCGCCGACGCAGGTATCGCCTGTCATTGGATCGATACGGGTGAGGAGAAGCCAGGCCCGAGCGTCGCTTCACGGCTCGCCCGCCTCATGGCCAGCATAGGTGGGGCTGTCGTGCACCACACCCATCTCGCGCCGCGTGCCGGCGTGCCGGCGCTCCCAGACTCGGTCCGGATCCCTGCGCTTCTCCGCGGGCCGTCCGGAAAGACCGCACAGCTGTCGCTGACGTCGCGGAACGGGCTCGCCACGCAAGCCACCCTCACGCACCTCTACCCGGGCTGCGTCTCCCCGATGGCGCTGGCATCGGACGAACTCGTAGCGTCGGCAACTTTTCCCCTGGCGGCCTTTCCGCGGTCGTTTGTCCTTATGCCGCACCAGGTATACGCGCTCACGGCTGTTGAGCCTGGCGCGATTGCCACCGACCAGCTCACACTCTTTGACGTTTTCAACGTGGGCGAGATGGTGGTCGTTCCGTTGGCCCCGACTTCAGGCATCGGGTTTCTCATCGAGCCCAGCTGCGCGATCGGCGACGACGCGATGACGGCCCAATCCGGACCGCCCGGCCTGGAATTTCAGCGGTGGATGGTCGAGCCGTGGGTGAACGAGCACGCGCTCGTTGCTTCGCCAAACTCGGAGCTGTGCGCGCGAGCAGCAGCGGTGGCTCGAGCCGCCGAGGACGAGCGTCCACTCGACCGTGATGCCGCGGCATCAGACGCAGTCCGCAAGCAGTTTCTTCTCCGCTACGAGCGGCTGCTCTACGAAGACCGCCTGGCAGCACAGACGAGCGCCGACGCCGCAGTCGCCCCGAGGCAGGACGCAGCTGGCGGAAGCGAGGTGTCAGTCGAGCACAAAGGCGAGCTCGATCCCCACAGCGCGTATCTCATGGCTGTCGACGAGGGCGAGCGGCCGGTCACGTGGTTCACCTCGCACTGGATGGGCGAGGCGCTCGGCAACTCGGCCGGGCCGGCCGAGTACGCTGAGCTCACGGAGCTGGTCCGGAGCTCGGTGCTGGTCACGACTCAGGAGCTCGTCCAGCACTACTCGGACCGGACCCGGAAGCAGCGCAAGATCCGCGAGGCGCAAATCCAGATTGTTCTCCGGCTCCATCTCGGTTCGTTCAACCCGCATGTCTCACGCGACGACCCACTGCCGGCGGACCAGCTGGACGAGCTCGCCGACATGCTTGGCGCCATCTCGTTTCTGCTCATCTTTCCGGACAAGCGGCCATGGGAAGCGTTCATTGCCCTCCTCTGCGAGCGCTACGGTGCCCTGCTTCCGCGGACCCTGCACGCACTCTTCCGCGAGGACGCGTACTTTCGCGAGTCGCTCGCGCACACCCTGCCAGCGACGTCGGCCTCGGCACGGGCGTCGCTCGTCTCGTCGGTGGCGACCGCCGCCGACGCCCGCATGGCAGGCGACAAAAGGCTCGCAACCATCCGGCTCGCCTCCGGCCGGCGCGAGCACGGCTCGGACGTCCCGGCAAGCGCGTATCCGAGCTCGATCCCGATGGAGGCGCTCAACAGATTCACGCTTGGTCTCGGCAACATGAACAGGCTCTTCCGTGAGGTCGTGGTCCCGACCAAGGGCAAGAACAAGAGCAAGAGTAAGGCCAAGAGCAAGGCCAAGGTCAAGGCAAGAGCCAAGAACAAGGACAAGGACAGGGGCAAGGGCAAGGGTAAGGCCAAGGCCAAAGCCAAGCGGCGCACGGATCGCGCGGCTGCGGCGGAAGCGGAAGCGGCGGCGGCCAGCGCCAAGGCACCGTCGCTGGCGGTCGAGGCGAACCGGCTGCTGGCGGCCGGGCGGCACTCGTCAACGTCGGCGTCACTGGCACAGGCGCGAGCGCTCGCGCCGATGGTTGTGGCTGTGCCCGAGTCGCCGCCGAAGCGGCCAAGGCGGAGGTTGTCAGCTGCCGGCGTCGGCGACGTCGGCAGCAGCGGCAACGACGGCCTGGATCTGCTGTCGGCGACAAGCGATGCCAGTTCGGGCGGGCGTCGGGCCGGCATCCAGGGTATTGGCAAGCGACGGCGTGACGACGAGGCTCAAGCAGCCAATTTGGCGCCACCGGTCGTAGCCGGATACATTGTGCGGCAGCCGCCAACAGCGCCAGTTGCCCCGCGAGGCAGCTCGCGGGTCCTTTTCATCCCCGAGTCGCCGATCAAGAAGCGTCGAAAGGGCAATGCGCCGAAGCTCGGAAGGGAGACGAGGCTCTCGCAGGAAGCAGCAGGCTGCGGTCCTACGCCTATCCCCTCGCAGCCGCTCTCGTCGTCGAGCGGCTCTGTCTCGGCCTCGCCGCCGTGACGCCTTGCCACACCCGCTGTCGGAATCTTCTGAGAGTCACCTTCCATTGGCCAGCGATTCCGCTCCGCCCCTCCCCCCACCCCGTCACCCGCCCATGGTCTCGCGTCGCCCTCCTCCCTCCCCCCGACTACAACAATCGTCCAACCCCCCCTCCCTCATCCCTTCCACCCCATCTGCTTGCAGACTCTGCAACAGGCAGCACAGGGTACTGTGGCTCAAAGTGTTCGAGCGGACGGAAGATTCCACGAGCCGGCGCGGAGTTTTCCATTGGCCGGCAAAAGTTCGAAATTTCGGCATACACTTGTCGCCAAGCACAAGAACCTACGTCAAGCAGTAGAGACCGTCATCGAGTCGTGAGCGGCCGTCTTCGTCCACCGCCTTCAACACCTTTGTGTACAACACCTCCTCTGAAACGTTGCTTGGATCCAGCTTTGTTCCCTCGTTATGTCTTTGTTGCATCGGTCAGCGTCGTGTCCAACGAGCGCGCTGTCGTCGGGCAGCAAAGCTGTGGCGCCTTTTCTGGCCAAAACCTTTGCCATGGTCTCTGATCCCTCGACCGACAACATTGTGTCGTGGGATGACGACGGTCGTGGCTTTGAAGTCCATTCCCGTGAGGGCATGGAAGACGTGGTGCTCGGCAAGTACTTTAAGCACAACCAGTTCTCGTCGTGGACCCGTCAGTGCAACATGTACGGCTTTGCCAAGGACAAGCGGCCGGGCGTTTGGCGGTTCTCGCATCCGGGCTTTGTCCGCGGCGTGCCGGAGAAGCTGACGACCATTGTGCGCAAGGGCTCGTCGAGCTCGGGCGCGAGCGCGCTGGCGGCAGCGACCGGCGCGACGGCGCAGCAGCTGCGGGCGGAGCTGCATCACCTGCGATCGCAGCGCGACGAGCTCTCGGACCAAGTGGCGGCGCTGCAGGCGCGGACTTCGTCGACAGGCACCACGCTTGATGAATTGCGGCAGGAGAACCAGCGGTTGTGGTCGATGATGCGGTCGCACGAACAGTCGCAGGCGCAGCTGCAGCACGCGCTGCACTCGATCATGGGCTGCCTCGTCCAGCACGGGGCGCGGCTCGACGGTGCCGAGCCGGACGAGGCCGCTGAGCTGGCCTTCAACACGGTGCCGACGCTCTCGCTGATGGACCTGTCTGACGAGGACGAGGCGGGTGTGGGAGATGTTGGTGCGAGCACGGGCGTGGCCGAGGCCGGCCAGGCCACCAAGCCTTCGGCGGTGCGGCCGCCGGCGCTCTCGCGCGCGTTTGTGCCTGCGCCGGTGGTGGTGGGTAACTTTGGCTCGAGCAGCGGCTCGGGCGGGTTTGCGAGCGGCTACGCCTCGCTGGTCCTCACGCCGACGCCGACCCAGGACGGACACTTTGTCTTTGACTCGTCGGCCTTTGACATGGCGAGCTTTGAGAACGCGTGGGCGACGCCGGTCAAGAAGCGCAAGACGTCTTCGATGACGACGGTGGCAACGTCGTTCCACGACGACACGCTGCAGTCGGCGCACTCGCCGCGCGTCGCCGCAGACGATACGACGGCAGCCGTGATGGTGCAGGAGACTCGGGCCGAGGCTGCGGCCGAGGCGCTCTCGGTCGCGCTGACCCGCGAGCTGGAGGATGTGCTCCTCGCCGGCCCGTCGACGCTTGACTCGGGGCTGCCAGAGGCGGCGCCGTACCCTGTGACGCCGATTGTGGCACCGCAGATCACGCCGCTGGCCGGGAGCCAGGCGAGCCAGGTGCCGGTGTCGATGGCGGCTTTCCCTGCGGATGAGTCCGCGGTGGGAGAGTCGCTGTCGACCTATGAACAGCGCGCGTCCGGCGCGCATAACCGTGACCGCGACCGCGGCCCGGCCGAGACGGAGGCTCCGCTCGCGCCGATGCCGCAGGCCTCGCCTGCCGCCGGCAATGATGACGACGATGGACAGGCGGCCGAGGAGCTTGCACGGTGCAAGGAGATGGAGATGGCCGAGGAGCTGGCGCGCCGGCGTGAGCTCTCGGCGGCCGGCAAGCGGCCGGTCGTCATGACGCCGCACCTCTTTGCCACCTTTGCTTGCCATGTCCTTGCCGTTCTCTCCTCTCTCGCGGCTGAGCGGCACTCGCTGCTCGGCGCCGCACCGCCGGCGGTCATCTCCACCCGCGGCTCGACGCCCGCCACGCCGCGGTCGGCGCCCTCACCCGAAGTCGTTGATGCGCTTGCCGCAGGCGTCGCCGCCGCCCGCCGCGAGCTCCCGTCGGACATGGTCCACTCGGTCGCTACCCAGCTCTACGCCGCGCAGCGCGGGTACTACGGCTATGATCCGAGCTCGGGCCACTCCAAGTGGCTGACCGGCATCGCGCCGCCTCCGCGGCCCATTGTTGTTCTCGTATCATGACTCCGCCATTACCATTCCACCCGCATACACACTCTTGTCCTTTGTGCCCCTTCACCAGAGCCGCCCACATGCTTCCTGAATGGTTTGCGTCGAGTTTGCCTCTTGCCCACCATCATCTCTCGACTTTTCAACTACGAACCACCCGTCTCTCTTCCTCAACGAAGATGGCACAGCACCGCGAGCTCTATGATGTCCTCGGCGTCGAGCCTGACACGTATGTCCCCCCTCCTCCCCTCTCCCCTCCCTCCCTCCCCTCCCCCCCTCTTCCTCTTGCTCTCCTTTCCCCACCTTTCCCACCCCCCGTCTCCCAGCCATGGCCACCCCCGTCACGCCTGTCGCCAATGTGCGGTGATTGGATTCGTGAAGGGAAGGTCGCAGTTGGTCCCCCCTCCCTCCCTCCCTCCCTCCCCCCACAACCTTCCATCCGTACCCCCCTCCCCCCCCCTCCCCTTCCCCTCCCCCCCTCCCTCGTCCCCCTACCCTCTACTGACTCTACTCCTCCACACTCACCATTCCCCTCCCCCTCCCCTCCCTTTCTCCCCCGCCCCGTCTGTCAACAGTCCCACGCCCAAGATCCGCAAGGCGTACATGAAGCTGGCAAAGAAGGTAAGGACAGACACTCCGACCCCCTGCGAACATCCCTGGGTATAATGCTTCTCTGACTCACACCTACCCATCCCCCCCCCCCTCCCCCCCTCTCTTTCATAGTACCACCCCGATCGCAACCCAGGAGACGAAGAGGCTGCTGAGAAGATGAAGGAGATCTCGGCGGCGTGGGACGTGCTGCAGGACGATGAGAAGCGGGCGCAGTATGACCGGTTCGGGCTGGAGGGTCTGCAGGGTGCAGGCGGGCCGGGTGCTGGCGGATTTGCAGACATCTTTGATCTGTTTGGCGGTGGGCGTTCGCGCGGGCCGCCGACCAAGACGCCCGACATGAAGCACGGGCTCGGGGTGGAGCTTGCGGATCTGTACAAGGGCCGCAAGCGCAAGCTTCGGATCACGCGGTCGGTGCTCTGCACGCCGTGCGGCGGCAAGGGCGGCGTCGACGGCAAGGAAGCGAAGAGCTGCCGCTCGTGCAACGGGCAGGGTGTCAAGGTGATGATGCGGCAGATCGGCCCGGGCATGGTGCAGCAGATGCACGTGCCGTGCGATGCGTGCTCTGGCGAGGGCGAGCTGCTCGATGCGGCCGACCGGTGCCCCGAGTGCTCTGGCCGCAAGCTGATGGAGAAGTCGGAGGACATCGAGATCAACGTGCGCCCGGGCATGCGCCACGGCGAGTCGATTGTGCTCCGCGGCAAGGCCAACGAGGCGCCGGGCCTCGAGACCGGCGACATTGTCTTTGTGGTCCAGGAGATGGAGGACGAGCGATTTGAGCGCCGTGGCGACGACCTGTTCATGAAGATGAAGCTCTCGCTCATTGAGGCACTCACCGGCTTTGAGTTCAACATCACCACTCTCGACGACCGCGAGCTGCTGGTCAAGGCCCTGCCCGGCCAGATCATTGCACCCAACCAGATCATCGGCGTGCCCGACGAGGGCATGCCGCGCAACAAGAACCCGGCGCTCCGCGGCAATCTCTTCATCGAGTTCTCGGTCACCTTCCCCGACGTCCTCCCCGTCGAGGTTGTCGACCAGCTCCGCCAGATCCTACCCGAGGCGACCCGTCCCAAGGCCGCGAACCCGAACGCCGAGGAGGTCCACCTCACCGTCAAGCACGTCGAGGGCCAGAGCCGCCAGGCTTACGACGAGGACGAGCACGGACACGGTGGTGGTGGCGGCGGCGGCGTCCAGTGTGCCCAGCAGTAAAATGAACCGAACAGACAGTCGAGTTGCCGGGCCCAGCCGACCGCCGCCGCTGACACGTGCCCGACGGTGGCGGCGGTAGGCGTGATGCCTTTGCCTTGGCAGCAATGCGGCGGCGTTGCTGCCGTAGGCGATGGTCGAGTCGTGTCGTGTCGTTTCTGTGCCTCCTTTGGTCGGCTTTGGACTGGGCCACCCGCACCGACACCGGCGCACCGGCACCAGCACCCGACTCAGCCATGTCTGCAGGAAGGTTTACGGGCGAGCGAGTGAGCGAGCGAGTGGTCAAGGTGGTGGAGGCGGACTCGTGCGGACAGTATCCGTTCTTGTACCTGGTGGAGGGGAGCGACAAGGTGGTGGTCATCGACACGGGGACGGGCGGCGAGTCGTTCAAGGACTGGATCGATAGCCATGGCAACGCGGAGAACAAGCCGTATCTGGTCATCAACACCCACGTCCACTTTGATCACACCGGCGGGAACAGGCACTTTGTCGAGGCTGGCAAGCCGAGCGTCATCGACATCGCCATGGGCGCCGCTGACAGGACCTTTACCGAGAACTCGGACATCACCTCTCTGTGCATGGCGCACTCGATTGCTGCGCCTGTGCTAGGCGTCTCGCGCTGGCTCGACAACGGCGAGCTGGTCTACCTTGACGACGCCAACCCGTCGCCGGACAACGCGTTGGAGATTCTGTTCACTCCGGGCCACACCAAGGACTCGATCGCGCTGTATCTGCGGCCCGAGGGCAGGCTGTTTGTCGGCGACAACCTCTACCCGTACACCCCAGTCCACCTGGACTGCATTGGCTCGTCGATGGCTGACTTTCGCGCCACGCTGCGGACCCTCATCGAGTTTGTCGATGCTCGCGAGGCCGAGCGCCGCGCTGCCGGCACGCTGCCGCCGATTCCGACCGGAGACGGCGGGGCAGAAGTCGCTCCGGCGGCGGAAGGGTCGACGACCTTGGTGGTTGAACCTGCTGGGAGCCCAGAAGACGCTGTAGCTGAGCCTACAGGTAACGGCGGGATGGCAGCGCAGCGAGCCGCGGTCATCGAGGGCTTTCTGGGCGTGGTCGGCCTCGACCGTGCCACAGCTGACGCACTGTTCTCGGTCGAGACGCTGATGGCGCTCGCCGACTGGCTCCCGGCCAACGCCATCAACATGTACCTCTCGGACCCCGAGGGAGTGATGGCGATGGCGCCGCCGTCAGTGGACGCACCGGCGGTGGCGGCTGCCGCGGGTAGTGGTAGCGGCGGCGGGAGTGGCATTGCTGCCGGCTCGCCGGGCTCGGCTATGTTTCCGGGTGGAGCCGAGGCAGATCCGCTGGCGGTCACGCTCTCGTGCGGGCACGTGGAGGCGAATCTGCCGTCGTCGGCGCTGGCGGATGTGGAGGCGTTTATGGCGGCTGTGGCGTCCGGGGCGGTCGCGCCCTCGTACCGCGACGGCGCCTACGCCGAGTACTCGTCAGGCACGTTTACGTTTATGATTCCGGACTCGTTTCTCGAGCGGTGAGGCACGGGCGCCGGCAGCAGACAGCTGCTGCCCAGGGACATGATGTTACAGCTGCGGCGGTCAAGCCATGGCGACGACGATCTGCGTCGCCAGATACGGCAGCGAGAACTTGGCGGCGGTCTGGAACGGGATGGTGGCGGTGGTGGCGAGCGTAAAGTCTGTCGAGCCCGAGTAGCGCGGTACGCCGATGAGGACGTCGCCGGTGGCGGCGGAAAAGCCGTAGGAGAGGTCAGCAAAGGCGCCGAGGCCGTCGGTGAGCTGGTGGCGGTCCGAGAAGGCTCCGGTGATCGGCGAGATGAGGTAGCCAAAGACCGGGAGCACGCCGCCACCGACAATGCCAAACACGGCGTCGTGCTGCGGCGAGTACGCCATCTTGACGACGGCGGCCACCATCTGCGGAAAGTACAGAATGGTGTTGTTGTGCGCGCTCACGTTGAGGCTCACCAGCCGAATGCCGTACTTGAACGAGTAGAGCTGGACGGTGAAAATGTTGGCTTCGGCGTTAAAGGCCGAGCCAGCGCCTGGCACAAGCTCGACGTCGTAGATGGGCGTCGTGAGGTTGTGCAGCACCTTGAGGCTCGTTGCATCGATGGCCTTGAGCTGGATGGCTTCGTTGCCCAAGTTTGCGAGGACCACGAGGTCATCGCCGTCAACATGGATGACGTCGACGTAGAACGGGTAGATCTGCGACTGGACAAAGGTGACTGGCGTGACCGAGACGTCAACGGCCACAATGACTGCCGCCGGAGTCTCGCCCACGTTGTTTGCGGCAAAGTAGGCTCTCTCGCCCGCAGCATCGCCCGCCGCCACCGACTGCGACAGGGTCAGCTGCAGCTCATCTGTCCCGTTCCAGCTGAACGAGCCACGCGGATCCAGCGAGCCATTCTCCGGGTCCAGGGCGTAAATGTTTCCGTCGAGCGATGCGGTGAACCATGTTGTGTCTGTGGTGGTGGGTGATGAGTACGGGGGAGGGGGGAGGGAGGGAGGGGGGGGGGAGGAGGGGGGTGATGGGGAGCGTACTGGTGGTGGTGGTGGCCATGGTTAGGGTAGCAAGCAGCGCCACGGCGAGAACCACAGCAACGGGTGATGGTGTTGAGGTCATGTGTGTGTGTGGTATGTGGAGGGGGGGTGAAGGGGGAGTGGTGGTGGTGGTGGGTGGTGGGGTGTGGGAGGGGGGGGGGAAGTGAGGAGGGGGGTAGGAGACATGGGGTGAG